ATCATTACGAGAGAAACGAGAAAATCAAAACAACCAAATATATAAAACAACGACCGTTCCTGAGAAGAAGGAACGGCATCTTATTTTTTAACTAACAAATATTCAAATCAAATTAAACCCGTTCTACTAAAAAGTTTACCTTTTATCAAGAACACTTCTACTCTTTTACTTTTTCGCTTGAAAACTATCAGTTAGATCTTTAGAAAAACCTTTAAACAAGACTTCTTTATATTCTACTTCATTTATCGACCAAAACCCCTTTTCTCTCTATCTCTTCTACAATCAATTGAATAGGCACGTCACAGATCATTTAGGTAGTTCTAATTGACTGGCGTTCTTATCTCAATCTTTCCTTTGATAAAGCAACTTTATCAAACTTACCGCTGAAGCAAGCCTGATACATAAACACGCTCCGCGTGTTCATTTCAGAAGATTTATATAGTAAGTGTACTATATATCTAACTGGCAGCGGTATCCTCATCCCGCACCAAAGACTGATATACTTAACACCTACATCTTACCTTTTAGAAACATTGCTCGCCAAGAATCTAAAGTTTTTATAAAGATTAATAGGATATTCACCTATAAATCAACATAAAGACTTTTGTGAGAAATAAATTCAACCTTATCTTCAAATACTTACCTAGCATTTGTTGACTTAGGTTGACAATCATGTTGATCAGCTATCAAAACTCCTTTGCGTCAACAAAGGAGACCAGAACCTTGCGGTTGACAACCATTCGGACTAGGCAATCTTTGAGATCAGCTTGGTCGAGGGGCTGAACCTGCAGTATGAAGATAAAGATGAAAATAAAAATCTAAAAAAGGAATTAGATAAGTAAAGATTGAGAATGAAATACAAGAGGAAAGTGACCTACCTGAACTGGCTTGCCATCAATATAGAAGCAGCCACTGTAGTTTGATTGGTTGCTATTGGCGGTTTGATATGATGAGCGCGGGATAAGTGTTGATTCATCAATTTTGTACTCCTGCAATTATCAAGAGCCAGAGGTATGTTGCAGATTGTAGCTGATGTCTTGGAATCTTCAGTGTAACAGGTGTCAATGAAACCTTTCAAGGCTTGGCAAATGTTTTCCATAACACTGTGAATGTCTTCCTGGACAAAGTATTGCCGTACCCACAATGAGAGTGCAATGGTGGTGGTATTGGAGGCAATCTTGGAGACCGAGTCAGATGGGGCAATACTGGAAGAAGTTGCTGTGTGACTTAATCACTGTAAACATTATACACTATCCCCAAGTGGAACTTGGAAAATGATGACTATTGCAGTTTTCCATCAAAAGATCTAGTACTGCACACATGTGCCATAACACCCACACTACATATGTGCAACAAGCTGGGCAAATTGTTGGCTATCATGTACATACAGGTCTGCTCAGTTCCCTGCTCATCTGAAGAAGTAAATCACATGTGATACATCATGTAAATTTTTCCACTTTGACAAAAATTTTCTAAAAATTGACTACATATACTTCCATAGCTACTCATGTAATACTCTGAAAGTCATTCAACAGTAACAGAAAGGGTGTTACATGAGGTTTATTTGATGGAATTACACCAAAACTATGAGTCAGTGTATGTAGTCAATTTTTGTAATGCTTTTGTCAAACTGGCAAAAATTACAGACAGTATTACATATGAGCCACTCATTCAGATGATCCAATAGCTGAGCAGCTCTGTATGTACACAATAGCTCCCAATTTTCCCATCCTTCTGCACATATGTAGTGTGGGTCCCTTGGCTCAGGTGTGCAGTGATATATCTTTCATGACAAACTACAATATTAATCATTTTCCCATTTCCACTTGGGGATAGTGTATAATGTTCACAGTGAATGAAGATCTTGTCAGGATGGATATAGCGGGCACATTGATTGAAGGTCAGTATTGATGATTGGGATGTTTGGTGATCGGCGAGTTAGCTGATGTCAGATGATTGGCAAATGATGGTGATCAAAATTTTGATTACCGTAGGATACAGCCATTCACATTGCTTGTCGCACCTGTTTGAAAAAGAAAAAGTTTGTGAGCTTGAAACCTAAGTTTTAATCAGTTAAAACCTGAAAACTGGCTGTATTTCCTTGAATTACAGCCAATTTCAAAGTTTTATCAAGTAAAAACTTAGGTTTCACCTAGTTTCATGACTTTTTCTTTTTCAAAACTGAGCAACAAGAAATATCGGAATGGCTGTATGTGGAATTAGATATATAAAATTTAATTTAGGCGATTGATAAACCACGCCAACATGAAAACTGGTTTGACACCGGTTTTTGTTAGCTTGGATTAATCAGGAAGCTATACAGTTTGGAAAAAGCTGAGGAACCTGTAGAGTGCTCCAAAGGCTTCAAAAACATTCTGAAGCCGTTTTTTGGGTGTGTACAAGTCGGCATCATCCCTTTAAAGCTCTGATGCCCGTCTCCTGATGCCGACTTCTCAAGTGTGAGGCCGAGTCCAGGTATCGCGGCAATATCCTGTAGATCTTTTGGCTTGTTTGCATGCCACAAGAGTCCATCGATGGTTGCTTTCCTTACATATGTTCGCGTACAGTGCCATTGAGAGTATGTCGCTTTTGCACGAGAATATTCAATCATCAGGTGAGTCATCATAAGAGTTCAAGCTCACATGCGGAGCAAAAACAAAAGTAACAGAAAGGGCAAGTAGAGACTGTTAAATGTTATAAGTATATTGATGATTGTTTTGCATTTCATGTATAAACATTGTATCAGCCTCGGTAATTGCTTCCAGCAAGTGGAAGACCTTCAATAAGGACACTCATGAACCAATCAAATGTGGTGAAATCTCAAAAGTTGTCCTTGTCAGCCATCCCATATGCTTGAGATCTCTCGAGCGTATCTTCAACTTGAGGATCCAAAATGCATACCTTGAGATCGTCCACGATCATTCTTGAAGACACCTCGGGAATCAAAATTGTACGGACCCAGCTTTCAGGAGTGAGAGTCGTGTGTTTCAGTTGGTTTAAAGCTTGGGGGTGCAGGAAATGTGAATGATAGATGATCTCTAATCCTTGTCTGTTGTGAATACGGTTCAAAATCGGCGACAAGGATCAGATTGAAGAGTGATAAATACACACTATCCTGGTTATTCGAGCTCAAAAGTGAGGTCACAAATATTGGAGTGAAGAAAAACCAACAAAAGACCTTGAGATTTGGTCACTCAATCTCTATTCATCATTTACGGTGTCAAATTTCCAACAGGCCGGTGTCAGAGCTTCAAAATAATCCAAAGGGGATTACACCGACTTGTACACACCCAAAAACCGGCTTCAGAATGTTTCTGAAGCCTTTGGAGCACTCTACAGGTTCCCCAGCCTTTTCCAAACAGTATAGCTTCCTGATTAATCCAAGCTAACAAAAACCGGTGTCAAACCAGTTTTCATGTTGGCGTGGTTTATCAATCACCTTAATTTATGGAATCGTGAAGGATTGTGATTGTGAGTTTCTGAGGAAAAATGGTTGGCAACTTGGCCGGACCGGCCGGACCGGCCGCCCGGGATGCCCGCGGTGCTTTTGTGAGCTGATGGTCATCATGTTAGGTTTAAAAGCCCCGGTACACGTACCTTGAGGCTCTAAAAATTCCTTGGGTGAGGTTGGCCAGGAAGGGCCGGGCCGGGTCACAGCCTTACCCCAGGCTTGGATTCTTTGAGAGCTGTGAAAGCTGCACCCTTTTCGACTCTCTTCTATTGGATTCTTGAAGAACTGATTGACCAGTTGTTTGCCCAACCCCTCCCAACCCCCACTATAAGTCCATAATTCTATGAGCAAAGGCACGATGAGAGGCGCGGCGCTGGGAGGTATGTGGTACCTGTACCGACGGGGCCAGAGCGAGTGGACTTGGATAAGTTTGGATGAGAGCGTGGCTTATACTGGTCACCATAGGATGATGATTGTACTGACAAATGTCCAAGATGTAAGCCTTGATTTCATTTCGGAATTTTAGCAAAAAAACTTGGGCTGCTCAGCCCCGAACCCAAGATGGCAGAAGCACCCACATTGGCTAGTCACGCATTTTTAAGCCGTTCGACGAGAATCGCTTTCTTAAAATGGATTAAAACAAGTCTTGATAACATCCGCAGCGCGATAGAAATCGCATAGACCTGTGAGTATGATTCCATCATGATGAGGGAGATATTTGTGCTTTATGATCGATTTCAACATATCTCAATGTCAGAGATCCACAGGTGAAGTCAATCTCTTTCAGAATCGGTGATCGGCCAAACTTGGGTTCTTGTCGGGCTGCGCAGCGGCCTCGCAGCAGGCTGCGGCCAAATTCGAGCTCTCTTGTCTCTTGTTCGCGGTCGAACCGGGCAAGCTTTTTAGCAAAGGTAGTAAACCATAGCTGAACTTTCCACAAAATAAGAAAGGTCAAACCACGTGGGTGCAGACCCATAAGTGATCATAGATGGAAGAGCCGCGAGGAACAAACTTAACAAAAGTCCCTCGTTTTTTTGGCTGTACTGGCCAGCTCAAACGAGGGACTTACTCGTAATGTCCCAAATTTGGCGTGAGATCTGTCGGGGTTTTTCGCAAAAAACTACAAACATCCCTGCTCAACATTCTCACCAATGATCACATCTCGAGCTCATAATGAAGATCATGCGCTGCTTCGCAGCGCTGCATCTCCCGTTCTCCGATTTTGGATATCTCAAATGGCTCAAAAATGATTCCATAAAAACCTTTTCGGGCCAAACACGGGGCCAAGCAGGGCCCCAAGATTTCCCAATGCTGCGCTATCGCAAAGGTTTTGTCATTCCAAAGTTTCTTAAGATCCAACTGCAGTTCGTCCTACTTAGGCGCCCTAATGACAATGCATTTCTTTCCGTCGCCACCGGCCCATAAGCAAACCACTCTTTAGTATGCCTCGTGTGGCAATTGAATGATGAATGTGGGCAAAGTAGTTAATCTCACCATATGCACCAACAGACTGCATCTTCACCAAGGATAGGAATTGATGTATAGATCATCAGCCTGTCCACACATAAATGGAGAGATCGTCAGCCTAAGCAAATATGAGAGGCAAGAAGTCAGAGCACGTTAGATGAGAGATCCAAAAAGATTTAAACACTTACCTCAGCTTGAATGAGGTCACGCCAGATACTCTCTTGGTTTCCGGCGGCATAAATGAGATTACGCAGGCCAATAAACACTCCACGAATAACGTTGCGAGAGTAGTTGCCTGAACCTCGGAACAAACGTTGATGAGGCAATAGTTCGAGGTTGCACCGATCTAGTAGACTGAGCACGAACTCGTAGACAGTGAGGTTCTGAGTGTGCATGAAGCTGATCGCGTTGAGGGCTCTATGGACAATAAGCCTTCGGCCAGGTGGCAGGTGATGGTTGATGATGGTAGACGCCGATGGGCTAACAGCCAGTACAAACTCGCGGAGCGTCATACCTTCGGCTATGATCAAGTCGGTGACGAGGGCAATTCACTCCTCCCACTCAAGCTCGCTGTCCGGAATTACCACTTGGGAGAGGGACTCCGAACCTTCAGATAGAGGGCCTTCAGAGGTGTCACCTTCCGATGGGACCTCCTCGGCTTCGGTGGCATGAGAGGACAGTAATTCCGCAAGAGATGAATCTGACTCAGCATGAACGGACTCCGGTGGATCTGATTGGCCTGGTTCGGAAGGCGCTTGTGCACGACCTGGCTGCATGGTGTGTACGTGTTCTATATATAGGTAGTTTGAGCTGAATGCTTCGTGTGTGTGTGTTGATGAAGGGATATGTGACTCTGGTGAGGAATGTCTGCAATGGTACCTAGTTATATGTGCCCCAGTGTCCCCAAGTTTGGGAAGTGGTACTCACACCAAGGTCAAGCGTGATACTTCGCCTAGTATCATGCTATCCAATGAATCCCACAAGCCAACCGGATTGATTCCTTAGCATGAAACTCATGATAGACGGGGGAGGTATTATGTTCATAGCACAAGTGAATCCCAAAATCCAAGTGGAAAGACTGTTTAGCATGGCAGTCATGATACACGGGGGAGAATTACATTTCATAGCACATATATTTCACACAAGTAAACCCGAAAGAATAGTTAGCATGAAACACATGCCACTCGCGGTTGGACTGTCTATACGCGGATGAAACTAAAGAGTGGTCTCGTAGGATTGGCCTCCGCGTGGACATTGACCTGCGCAAAAATTTGTTCCAGAAGTTGCTGCACAAGGATACCTTTGTCAAATGCTAAGACCGCCAGGAAATTATTACAATCTGCTGCACCGTCTACCACTATGACTTCATCACAGCCCGAGGGTACAACCGTACCATTACCTAAGACGGTTATGACCACATTAAAGATATGTGAATTCATGACCTCTTTGGGTTTCTCCCCAAAGGAGTTCATGATGACTTTCTTTTCGTCAACCAATAAAGACATAGATTATTGCCGTCGTTTGATGAGAGCCGGTTTGGGGACTAAGGGAACGCGCTCAATCGTCAAGAACTTTGGTAAACTGACCTCGTCATGTGCGGCCGGTCAAGAAGAGTGGGAAGCTATAATTTTGGAACAGGTCAGCTTGCCAAAATTATAGCTTTGACGGGTGAGATAAGCTTCACGTGAAAACTAATCCACTTACATCTAAACCAGGCATCGGCGATCGTCATCAAGCAGGAGCTTCAACGAGGTTACTTCCCGGCAGGGTCATATACTAGCTCAAATCGAATTACACCCGACTATTTCAGCGAAAGCGCTGAAACACATCGTGCTGACCAGGTTAGAAAAGGAATGAAATTCCTTTACTCGCTGATTCACTGTAAACTGGCTCACGCCCTGAAAAACAAATCATATGACCCCGAGGACGACCATGAGGAGCCCAGTAATCAACCAACCATGACGACGCCTGCAACCCACCAGGATGGGTTGTCCGCCGAAAGTTCGATCGAGGACCTTCCGGATGAAGCGACAGTGCTATCGTTAGAGAACCTCGTCTTTGTGAAGACAACACCTGAATCCCTGGCGGCACACAAGCTTGACATGGTGAGTCCTGACTTGCTGCGTCAGGATGCAAAATCACTGACGCAGGTTGGCCACCGGTAGGTACCCACCATGTTATGTTCAATGTTGGCAGTAGCTTGCAACCGTCGAAACAACGCAGTACCGCTGGCTAACGGCCTAATGACTTTGGCCGCGGGGGTTTCATGCCGAGTCAACGAATGGCTCCACACGCTCGGTTTGACCACTTCCCGTACTAGCATCCTACAAGCGATGGAACACCTTTGCGTGTTACAAGAGCAGCGTATGATGGAGCTTTTCAAAGTCAACCACAAGATCATGCCGTTATTATGTTTTGATAATATAGACATACATCTCAGGATCCATAATACACGCATAGGCACCTCTTCTCGCCTGTTCCACGGGACGTGGGGATTTTACAACGTAATACAATCAACCCTTCAAGCGAAATGTTCCGAAGAGGCCGCGAGCATTGCGAAGTTCCTGGAATCCATGTCGACAGCCAATCGCCAACCAGTCGATATGGGGTTGTTTGCACCTACACCACGGGACATGGAGCATTGGTCATCAGTCATCAAGACCCAGCTCGCAAAAGCTCTCAAAGAATTTGCGAATCACATACCGGGCGCTCAAAAACTACCACCACTAAACATTTGACCACCAGCTATAGATCAAATAGAAATGCACAAACCAAACATACATTTCCTCCGTATGATGGACGCGCCGGACTCCTCGGCGGACGGGGTTTCGAGGGTACTCGATGCAGTAATGGCCCAGATTGGAGTTGACAAAGAAAAATACGCCGAGAAACTCCTTGTCGCCGGGGGCGACGTGGGGTCAAACCAGCTAGTCGAGAGCCTTCGCGTTAAGCGGTATCCCCCAATCAAAGCGCTGGAAGGCATTGACTGGGTGCTGTCCATCTTCGGCGGCGCACATACTACGTGGAATTTTGCTAAGTCGATATGGGCGCATCACTGGGGCCACTCGGATAAGGGTGAAGACTCTGGCGTCTGGAGGTCTGCTTTTGCACTCGGTTTAGAGTACAAGAAGCCTGTTCCATCACAAGACTTCAATAGCATAATGCGATCCCTGCAGATTGTTCATAAATCTAACCTGGTATTCGTGATCAAGTAAGTTTTCGCCGTAGAGGTGCACATGTGAGGCCGGCCACCAACTTGTATCCTTCGCCATGTAGAAAAGCACTCGAGAGCATGAACGACATTGATTTGTCCACGGAAACTGGCGTGCAAAAGGTTTTCGACACAGTATGGAATCAGTATTTCGACGCCAAAGCGCTAGCTGCTGCTAGCAAGGCAGGTGATCATACCACTTACAACTTTATCATGCGCCTGCGTGACTTTGCAACCGTAGTAGAAGCTCACGATTCAACGCGACAAGGAGACATCGGACGTTTAATGGCCATGTGGAAGCGCTGGTCGGTAATGGCACAAGGCCTCACTGGCCTGTCGCATTACGCACGTCATATTCCACGTATTGTCATGCTCTTGGAGGTGGACTTACCCAAGGACCTTGCACACGCAATTAAACACTCCTTACTGATCCCCTCAAACAAACGCGAGGGGCATTGGATGGCCATAGATGAATACCTCGAGGTACACATCTTTTGGTTGAAGCATATGTATAACAACACTGTGAATAAGTCGCTTACGCTGCAACCGCGTCAAACTATCGGAATGATCTGACCATTAGTTTTCCATTGTCATATTCCTTCTTGCAGGGTCACGGAACGGACATCGAAAGGCTCACACATCGATTCTCAAACAACATTCCTTTGGTAGGAGTCTAGAAGATCACTGCATTGCAAGGGCTGATCACTAATTGTAAATTACTTCTGTTGACTACATAGCTACGTAAACTCATGCAGCTATTGAAAGCTTTATCGGGGCAAAAAATAGTCTACCAGCCGAACTTGAACTCCATAACCGAAGCGTCCATGAATGCCTTCCTGAGCTATGCTCAGGCGCAGTGGTCGCAGCCGATCGCTTTGAAACCCAAACCGGTGGTTAACGTATGGCGTGAGGGGCGACGCAACCTGAGGAAATTGATCAATGCTGACAAGGCAGCTGGCCGGACTTCGCGATTTCGGTGGGGCGCTTCCAATGTGCTATCTTCATGGGAGGATCGCGAGACACCAGGTGAAGAGTGATTTGAAATAATTAATAATGATCATTCCATATGCGTCATGTTGCTAGTGAACTTGCTGAAGGCATGGCCTGCAAGCCGGGTTCCTGACCAATCACCATCGAGGGTTTCGCTCGTTTGCGAGTGGCGTTGGTGAGCGCCGTGGCCTCGGCTTTGTCCCTTGCGCGTTTGGCTTTGGCTGCCGCTTTCACCTCGGCTGCCGCGTGTTTAGCTTGCTCAGCAGCTAACAGGCGGGCTGCTCTTTCGGCTGCTTTGGCCTCCGCTGCTGCCTGTTTGGCTTGCTCGGTCGCTAAGTGTCGCTCGTGCCTCTTCTGGGCCTTTATCTCGAGGGCCCGCCGTTTCGTTTCGGCTGCAGCCTCCAGTTTGGCTTTGGCTTTATTGGCTTTCGACTCCAAAGCCAATCGTTTGGCGAGTGCCGCAGCGTCGAGCTTGTCCTGAGCGCGCTGCGTGCGTTCAGCTTCTTTGTCCTCCTGTGCTTGTTGCCGTTCTAGTTCTCGTAATTCTTTCTGATGGACCTTCAGGGCGTCAGCGCGGGCCTTCTGAATGCAGGCCCCTTCGACAGACAAAGGAGGCAGCGTCTGCACGTTTGGCCAAATGGTGCTGAGGCGATGAGCCTTAGCATTGGCCATTGCCGCAGCAGAATCCAATTCTTCACGCCATTGAGTCAAAGCCGTGAAGAGCATTTCGAACTGGTTGGGGATCATTTCGCTGACCAGCACTAAGGCCAGATCGCTGGGTGTGGTGAGGACATCGACGTTCTTGGCCAAATCCCACGCAGAATCGATGTCGAAAAAGTCTTTGGGGCCTAAGTCTGTGGGACCTTAAAACATTTGATAAAATAGGCCCTTGAAAGCGCTTTGGAACTTGATGACCAAAGAATCGAGTGTTGTGGAATTGCGTATCTCGTCATCTTCGCTGCAGAGCAGCGCTATTGGCTTGGGAACGGTGGGTGCCGGGACAGGCGCGTCAGGCAGACTAGCCGCGAGGTCCGTGAGTTCGGTCTCCCCCATCGCGAGGGCGCATTCAAAGTTGTTCGTCGTGAGGGCACTCTGGGCCTGCCACAAGGCCTCTGCTTCTTCTGGGCGGCAGTTCGAGCAGTCACACGGGTCCATTTTCGCGCGTTGTCTTTCGATTTCATCGCTGACGTGCATATGATCCTCATTGAAAGGTATGTAACCGTGCCTTTTGGACCTGGTCAGCGCTGTCTGCAGTTACATATGACACCAGGAAAGAACTCACTTTAGATCGACGGCGAGGGCGACACACAAACACACCGGTGTGATCGCCAAAGCGTCCATTCGATCATCATCTGACATCATGGTCAGGTTCTTGAAGTCCGCTAAAGAATTTTTGCCATTGGTGCGTTTATGCTCAACTAATAAGAGAGCCAGACCCCGGCGACCGTCCCTTCCACATCTGCCCGCCATCTGGACGAAATTGCACGGGTCTTGTCTACCGACGACAACGACCCTTCGTACCCGATGCCAGTTTTGGCCTAACCCCAGCGCCAGGGTGCAGCATAAGACGCTGAGTTTTCCTGCAGTGTATGCAGCCACGGCATCAACCTTGGCCTCGGGTCCAGTCGAGGCGTGGTACCGGCGAGCAAAGGTGGAAAACGCATTGCCAGTTTCAGAGGGCTGGCCGCGGGAGGTATTGATCAAGTGCAAATAGTCCAACGTTGCATTCTGTGTCCCGGAGTATAGAAGGGTAGGAGGGGTTGACTGTGACGGAATGAGGGTATGATGTGCAAACAGTCCTCGGAGAGATGCTTTCAAAGGTTGTCTGAAAGTCCTTCGGATAAGGCGAAGCTCCGGTCGAGACAACTCAGCCCGAACAAATGAGACAGATTGGTAATTGATTTTGAGGTTGGCCAGAATCGCGTGAATTGCCTGTGGCGTACATGTTGCAGACATCAAAAGGAGAGGGACTTTCACCGTCGAAAGAAACCGTTGGGCGAGGTCACCGTAAGAAGGCCTGAAAGCGCCTACATCCTGGACACGCACGTGGCTGGCGAGCTTCTTGGCGTGTCCACTTGCAACCAGACCCCAGCTATAAATCATATGCGCTTCATCGACCACGGTGAGAACCAACCGGGCTTGGAAACGTGGGTCTCGCCACATGCGGTCAAAGATCGCGCTCGTCAAGGCAATCTCCGGGCTCTGCAACATTATCACCGTAAGAGATTGACATTGGTCAGCCAGTTGAAGTGATCCCGGGTATGAAACTATCAGATCCACTTTACCACATATACAAAAGGGTGTTTGCCCTGTAAGATCTCCTCGCACGCCGCTGGGGTGCAGTGATCCCCGGTCAAATTGATAGCACCCAGGTTGACGGACGCTTTCTCAGCAACCTGAATAACATACCCAAAGTCAGTCAGCATCGAGACCTACGCGTCTGTGTGACAAACCACACACCTGATCGTCACCCAGCGCGTCGAGGGGGTTGATGCACAGGGTGATCGGCGCGGAAGTTGTTTCAAAAGTGTGATGAAACATTTCCGGTACCCGGCTCTTGCCAAATCCGGTGCCGGCCAATAAGAACGTGGGGCGATCGTTGAGGAGATGAACCACCGACTGGATTTGCTCGTTACGCGCGCTGTATCCGTGGATGTCGTTAAACTGCTTGCCGACCTCTTCTGCCTGTTTAACTTCGGAGGTGTTGGCGAACTGGGGTTGCCTTTTGGGTTGTGAGGTGATTGCTATTTCCCTGCGAGTCTCGCGGTCCTGCGCTAGCATCATCGCGCCGTTCGCGCTTTGACTTCTTCGTAACATGATCGGTGAAGTGTGAGTCCAGTCGTCGTTTCGCGAGGTGGCACTGGAAATCGTGGACTTGGTCGGTGGTGATATGGTATACCACCGACCAGCCAAACTGCAGTTTGGCCAGTCCGGATTGGTAGTATTGTCTATGAATAATGGGTATTGCCCCTAATTTCCCAGTTTCGGACGCCGCAGTCGTCAATTGCCCTGACTGTGGCCCCGTGTTTGTCCCGAAAAGGTTTTTATGGAATCATTTTTGAGCCATTTGAGATATCCAAAATTGGAGAACGGGAGATGCAGCGCTGCGAAGCAGCGCGTGATCTTCATTATGAGCTCGAGATGTGATCATTGGTGAGAATGTTGAGCAGGGAGGTTTGTAGTTTTTTGCGAAAAACCCCGACAGATCTCACGCCAAATTTGGGACATTACGAGTAAGTCCCTTGTTTGAGCTGGCCAGTACAGCCAAAAAAACGAGGGACTTTTGTTAAGTTTGCGCGAGGAAGGTCCCAGGACTCAAGCAAAAACCCTGTGGCTGTCTTGCAGGGAAAATGGCTGGGTCCGCCACAAGATATTCTGTTGAATGAGGCTTGAGACGGAACACCACCCTTTGTTGTTGAAATGCATTGACTATATAGGCTGCTTGGCTATCGTCTCAGAGGCGATTAAGTTTAGCAACACCTGGTTCACCTTCCTAGCTTGGCGCGGTTCTCATAAATTTGTACCAGTCCTCCGCTGTTAACTTCCAAAAGAATTCGAACATTCAGTAGCTCTACAACCTCCGAAACACATCAAGCTCTTGTCCAACGATGTCTTGGAATCGATCGATCTCCACCTTTCATCTTTTACTCGTTTTCCTGCTCGCCGGAGACCTCGCGTCACGTATCTTCGTAGATGCTAATGCTATAGATTGCACTTACGGTTTCTCTCCACCAGACAAGACTTTCGACGGCCTCCCCAAGGACAAGTATTGTTAGTCAATTATCTCGTTTCCTGCAGTTTTTGACTTCTTCAGATTCAATCAGTCATCTCTCATGTCACGGATGGTGTGAATTGACCCAATCCTCTGATCATCTTACCAAAACATGTCATGCTCAAAGTATGTTGGAAATTCAAAGGCAAGGGTCCAGACTACTCCACCTATAAATGCGACCAGTGTGGCAGGGCCGATAAACATATCCCCTGTAGGAGCAAAGTTTACTGTCTTCAATCAATGAGCAATGTAGGGACCACTTACCTTTTGGTTTGATGAAACGGCGCACAGCTGCTAGAAACTGCGTAGACTACGACGGAAAAGTAATGAACGGGGGAGGAGCATGGGCTTGCGAATCCGGCATCGACTTCGATACAGGCTCTCGCCCAGATGGCAGAAACATCAGTTAGTCACTTTGAATTTTTCACGTCAGATCTTTCTACTGCAGATTACATTGGTTCGAGATGTCTCGAGACGTCTTGGTGCCAAATGTTTTTAACACGCCACACTGCTGATGTATTTGATTCTCGGTAATTACTGAATCTTGAAAACATAAGTGTGCAACCACATTGACAACGATGGAATATTGAATGGGTACGCTTGCAAGCAACGCAATGTGTTCCAACGTAAGTTTAAATTTTATAACTTGTTTGCAGTCAGGTACATAATATTCACTCACCACTAATTGGCCCTCTCTATTGTTTCAACTGCGCTATGTTTTTCAGAATGTCCTGAGGCTCACTGTTATCTTGTTGATAATTAACGCGTTATGTTCATCACTATTCTGGCCAATTTACCGTGCAGCTCAATGTGATGCGCACCTTGTCTTGATGGCATTCTCTAGGACTTGATGATCTCGGCTTGAATCACAACACCCTTAGCTATACTTATCTGCGATGTTTCTAGTATACAATGTTGCAACTCGAGTCGTGAAATTCAATCAATGAGCTTTATTCCGCATAGCCACGTAAGTTGCGTCTATCTCTTGACCCTATTTTCAAGCTAGTCTTCCGTCAATGAATTGTCATCCTCAATGAGGTTTACCTTCTTTAAAAGGCTATTGGAGTTTGTACCACCACTGAGACCTTCAAAGCCTCCACACATTGTGTCTCTCAGCCTTGAGCCTAATGCAGCCTGTCTATGATGGTATCGAATGCCTTGGTTGAGCAGGAATGATAGAAATTTGGCCCAAAAGATTACCTTGCATTGTTAGCTTCTTATTTTCTCTTATGTTGTTTGTTGGTTTCCATATCACAAACAAAGAGAAAACTCAATTAACTTCGTATCTCAAGGCTCCCTTGGACGCTCACCTGAACCCATCCCATTTTGAGCGCGAGAGACAACTTGAAGGGTAGCGCAGACCCCAAAGTCGTCACAACATGCACCGCGAAATTAAATTAAAAAAGTCCCTTCCTCCTACAGTCCACTCGCGAGGAGTCGAGGGAGGGACTTAGGTTTAACCAAGGAATGTGGATTCAGAATTCTTCTGGGGACAGTGGCTGATCATAAACCCGTGGCTAAATTTGTAGCCTGACTGTTTCTGATAAATGAGGCTTGAGACGGAACGGTAACCTTTGTCATTGTGATATATAAGGTTTATATAAGGCTGCTTTGGTAAAGAGACATACCAACCCCTGCAACGGCTCTTTCGCTCCTAAGGGCCCGTTCGGTTCGGTTGGTCACATATTATGTGACCGACTTTTACACCAAAATTAGGGCGGTTCAAGAAGAGAACCGCGAGCCACGTGGTCGCCGAGTCGCGATCAGTCTTTTCAAGGTTGCTCAATCCTTAAAAAGCTTGATCGCAAAGCGGCGAATGCTGTAAACTTACGTTTTACAGCTTTGTAAATTCAGGAACACAGTCCCAACCGTTCTTTTTTTGACTTTGATTTCTTGTGTTTTTGTACAGAATTTTTGTTAATGAAAGAGGAAGCCATCGAGAAAAAAAAACGAGAAAACGAGGTCCTTTCTTGACCAAAAATTGTCATAATCCAGGAACAAAAAAAAGAAAGAATGGAAGTAATTCTTTTTTTCGGCTCAATTGTCCCTGTCTTTTGGAAATTCAGGGACAGAATTTAAAAATTTTAAGGCCGATTACGAGATCACCAAACCGTGAACCACCTCTAAAGGTGGTTCGGTTCGAATATGTGACGTCGATATCTCATCGCACATCTTCAGATATTGGTCCAAATAGAGATACAGCCTTTGGGCTGTATCTACAGGCTCTTTCTCAATCTGCCCCTCCCCAATCTATCTACTTCGTCCATACCCTTCTCCTTATCTCGATACCCGCACACCCTCTTTCCAACGTCTCTTTTTATTCCTCACCTTTCCTCTCTCCTTTGCTCAGCTATCCTCAAAGATTCTTCCTCCAGCTATTTCATCAAACTCGCTATCAAATTCGATATTAGTTTCCAATTTCATGATTCTTTTATCTACTCCAACTGGCTATTGAACTCGCTAGTAGTCCTCAATTCAATCAATCAATCATTAAATCCCTATTAGTTCTTGATTCAATCGATCCTTTTATTCACTTTTTGGCCATTGAATCAAATTCAATATTAGTTTCCAATTCCTCGATTTTTTTATGAAGCTTGTTTGTAGGTGAATGAGAAGAACGAAGAGGGTCTTTAATGACCGTTTTGATTTTTTTGGGGGGAGCAATCGAACAGATTGTATCTCGTTACAATCATTACCGAACAGCAATATGATCAACGGAGGTCAACAGACGTCTGTTGACCTCCGTTTGGATTTCTGTTTGGTAATCTCAATTCCCAAAATACAAATATCTCTATCTGCCCCTTCATATAGGGGCAAAATGAGATTTCGTTTTCAGGGCATATAATATGT